ACTTTTATATCTATCCCAATCCAGAACATACCATGAATCCCACTTCATATGCTTACTCTAACCATTTGCCTGAAGTTTTATATCTATCCCAATCCAGAACATACCATGAATCCCACTTCACATGCTAACTCTAACCATTTGCCCAAACTTTTATATCTATCCCAATCCAGAACATACCATGAATCCCACTTCATATGCTTACTCTAACCATTTGCTAAGTTTTATATCTATCCTAACCAGAACATACCATGAATCCCACTTCATATGCTTACTCTAACCATTTGCCTGAAGTTTTATATCTATCCTAACCCAGAACATACCATGAATCCCACTTCATATGCTTACTCTAACCATTTGCCCAAAGTTTTATATCTATCCTAACCAGAACATACCATGAATCCCACTTCATATGCTTACTCTAACCATTTGCCCAAAGTTTTATATCTATCCTAACCCAGAACATACCATGAATCCCACTTCATATGCTTACTCTAACCATTTGCCCAAGTTTTATATCTATCCTAACCCAGAACATACCATGAATCCCACTTCATATGCTTACTCTAACCATTTGCCCAAGTTTTATATCTATCCTAACCCAGAACATACCATGAATCCCACTTCATATGCTTACTCTAACCATTTGCCCAAGTTTTATATCTATCCTAACCCAGAACATACCATGAATCCCACTTCATATGCTTACTCTAACCATTTGCCCAAAGTTTTATATCTATCCTAACCCAGAACATACCATGAATCCCACTTCATATGCTTACTCTAACCATTTCCCAAGTTTTATCTATCCTAACCCAGAACATACCATGAATCCCACTTCATATGCTTACTCTAACCATTTCCCTAAGTTTTATATCTATCCTAACCCAGAACATACCATGAATCCCACTTCATATGCTTACTCTAACCATTTGCCCAAAGTTTTATATCTATCCTAACCCAGAACATACCATGAATCCCACTTCATATGCTTACTCTAACCATTTCCAAAGTTTTATATCTATCCTAACCCAGAACATACCATGAATCCCACTTCATATGCTTACTCTAACCATTTGCCTAAGTTTTATATCTATCCTAACCCAGAACATACCATGAATCCCACTTCATATGCTTACTCTAACCATTTGCCCAAAGTTTTATATCTATCCTAACCCAGAACATACCATGAATCCCACTTCATATGCTTACTCTAACCATTTTCCTAAAGTTTTATATCTATCCTAACCCAGAACATACCATGAATCCCACTTCATATGCTTACTCTAACCATTTGCCTAAAGTTTTATATCTATCCTAACCCAGAACATACCATGAATCCCACTTCATATGCTTACTCTAACCATTTGCCCAAAGTTTTATATACTATCCTAACCCAGAACATACCATGAATCCCACTTCATATGCTTACTCTAACCATTTGCCTAAAGTTTTATATCTATCCTAACCCAGAACATACCATGAATCCCACTTCATATGCTTACTCTAACCATTTGCCAAAGTTTTATATCTATCCTAACCCAGAACATACCATGAATCCCACTTCATATGCTTACTCTAACCATTTGCCCAAGTTTTATATCTATCCTAACCCAGAACATACCATGAATCCCACTTCATATGCTTACTCTAACCATTTGCCCAAAGTTTTATATCTATCCTAACCCAGAACATACCATGAATCCCACTTCATATGCTTACTCTAACCATTTGCCCAAAGTTTTATACTATCCTAACCCAGAACATACCATGAATCCCACTTCATATGCTTACTCTAACCATTTGCCCAAGTTTTATATCTATCCTAACCCAGAACATACCATGAATCCCACTTCATATGCTTACTCTAACCATTTGCCCAAAGTTTTATATCTATCCTAACCCAGAACATACCATGAATCCCACTTCATATGCTTACTCTAACCATTTGCCAAAGTTTTATATCTATCCTAACCCAGAACATACCATGAATCCCACTTCATATGCTTACTCTAATCCCAAAGTTTTATATCTATCCTAACCCAGAACATACCATGAATCCCACTTCATATGCTTACTCTAACCATTTGCCCAAGTTTTATATCTATCCTAACCCAGAACATACCATGAATCCCACTTCATATGCTTACTCTAACCATTTGCCTAAAGTTTTATATCTATCCTAACCCAGAACATACCATGAATCCCACTTCATATGCTTACTCTAACCATTTGCCCAAAGTTTTATATCTATCCTAACCCAGAACATACCATGAATCCCACTTCATATGCTTACTCTAATCCCAAAGTTTTATATCTATCCTAACCCAGAACATACCATGAATCCCACTTCATATGCTTACTCTAACCATTTGCCCAAAGTTTTATATCTATCCTAACCCAGAACATACCATGAATCCCACTTCATATGCTTACTCTAACCATTTGCCTAAAGTTTTATATCTATCCTAACCAGAACATACCATGAATCCCACTTCATATGCTTACTCTAACCATTTGCCCAAGTTTTATATCTATCCTAACCCAGAACATACCATGAATCCCACTTCATATGCTTACTCTAACCATTTGCCCAAAGTTTTATATCTATCCTAACCCAGAACATACCATGAATCCCACTTCATATGCTTACTCTCTAACCATTTGCCTAAAGTTTTATATCTATCCCAACCCAGAACATACCATGAATCCCACTTCATATGCTTACTCTAACCATTTGCCTAATTTTATATCTATCCTAACCCAGAACATACCATGAATCCCACTTCATATGCTTACTCTAACCATTTCCCAAGTTTTATATCTATCTAACCCAGAACATACCATGAATCCCACTTCATATGCTTACTCTAACAATTTTCCCAAAGTTTTATATCTATTCTAACCCAGAACATACCATGAATCCCACTTCATATGCTTACTCTAACAATTTTCCCAAAGTTTTATATCTATTCTAACCCAGAACATACCATGAATCCCACTTCATATGCTTAATCTAACCATTTGCCTAATGTTTTATATCTATCCTAACCTGGAACATACCATGAATCCCACTTCATATGCTTACTCTAACCATTTGCCTAATGTTTTATATCTATCCTAACCCAGAACATACCATGAATCCCACTTCATATGCTTACTCTAACCATTTGCCTAAGTTTTATATCTATCCTAACCCAGAACATACCATGAATCCCACTTCATATGCTTACTCTAACCATTTCCTAGTTTTATATCTATCCTAACCCAGAACATACCATGAATCCCACTTCATATGCTTACTCTAACCATTTCCTAAGTTTTATATCTATCCTAACCCAGAACATACCATGAATCCCACTTCATATGCTTACTCTAACCATTTCCTAAGTTTTATATCTATCCTAACCCAGAACATACCATGAATCCCACTTCATATGCTTACTCTAACCATTTGCCTAAGTTTTATATCTATCCTAACCCAGAACATACCATGAATCCCACTTCATATGCTTACTCTAACCATTTGCCTAAGTTTTATATCTATCCTAACCCAGAACATACCATGAATCCCACTTCATATGAAATGTTATATCTAACCTATCCAAAGATCCAACTTCATGAGCTAAATCTTAGTTCTCTTTGAGTTTGCCAAATTGCTTATTTTATCTATCTAATACTAATGGCAAAACCAAAATAACAAAGATGTTTCTTACCCATTAAATCAATCAGACCAAGTAACCTGTTTAGTTGTTCTATGAAATATTGAAGCCAATATAGTTTATTCCAGTAATAACAGATTTGTTCGAGAATGAAAATAAACAACGGATAAAAAATTTCCGTTTTATTTACCGTTGTATTCAAAGAAATTAGAAAATGAATATATCCTATTTATAGTTGGCACATTGTTATCTTCTTGAAAAATACTATATTTTCGGTATTACATTCACTCAAAAGCTTTTTTGAGAGTTTCATTTTACATGATAAAGTAAAGCCATGACTGTAAACTAAACCTGTATTTATATTGTTTCAGTTCCTACAACCCATATCCATCACCACAACACTCCTGATCGTCATAGACCTTCTGACACTCAACCAACCAATACATCAAGTGAGCAGGAAGCAGCTGTAGGAGGGGGGAGTTACACAGGTCAGTTGATATAAACTTGATCTCGATCAACATGTTTTGCCAGTATTGTACTTGCATGACTCTGGATAGCATGGACAAAAGCTATACTTTCTGGAATTCCAGAGGATGAAGGCACTTTACTGAGGTGTATGGTTGTATAATAGATGATTAATTTTTAACGTTTTGTTTAACACTGAAATTAGGTAAAAAACTGCTAAATCTTCCAAGTTGGAGTTTATTATGTTCAGGTGCGCACTTTGGTGTTACATCAATCTTTCTTTAAAGATTTGAAATAACAATGTATACGAGTTTCAGGAGATACTGCTATGAGTTAATGGGGGACAATAAAATTCCAAAAAATACGAGTTTTATGTGAGACTGTACTACTCTTCCTTACCCTCCTAAATTTCATTGTCTATCAGTAAAGCTTTTAGATTTCTAAGTTCGCATGAAAAGAATATGTGTCTTCTCGTATGTCTGTTTCTTTTCCAACAAAACTATTCTGATTTCACCAAGGCATTAGAAATGCTTTTCATATAAATAATTCTTATAAAAGTTTATTCAGAAACTTGTGCCATTTTCAAAACACAATTATGGTTGTGGAAAACGATGTGACTGACTATTATAGCAAGACTATATCAGTGCCTTCCTGGCAAGGCTGCAGCTTTCAAATAGGCTGTGATAAATCTCATGAAATTTCTTCTTCTGAAATGAGACTGTTAAATAAAACTACGATATAGTCTATTGAGACTAAATTAATTCCATAAATACTTTGTAATTACCTTCTGAAAATGCTATGCTAATCTATCAATGAAACAAAACAAAAATATACACAACGTACTAATGCCCGATTATTTTTTGTTTCATATCACAGAAAAAGTCCAAGAATTCAAGCATGCCATCAACGATTTAACTAGGAGAAGTGCAAAGCCGATTGAAAAGAAGTATCTCAAAACCCCCGATTACAAAACCAATCCCAAAACAGTAGAAGTTGACTATTACCAAACCACAGTACAAGAATCCGAGTACAAACCAGAAGTGGGTTTCAGTCAGCAAACTCAGAAACAACCTGGCAACCCAATATCAATGGAGAACTTTTTCTCAGATGGAAAATCAAGGGTTGCTCTGATAGGAGGAGCTGGATATGGTAAAACTGAAATGACAAAAACATACCCCATTAATGTGCTTGATGGTAAGGTACCAGAGCTTAGAAAGATTGAGGTTGTTCATCGCATGGACTTTCGAGATCTTGAGGTTCATAGAAGAATTAGCCCAAAAAATTTCTTATTTGGGAAAACGGATTTGAATGACGATGTCATTGACATGGGTGTTGGATGGATCAGGCAATATCCTGAAAGGTTTCTTCTCGTTCTTGATGGAGCTGATCAATATTCTTCCCCCGAAAGTCTTGGAAACCCGTATGGCAAATGCAATCATAAAGTAAAAGCAGATCCCAAGCTTATTCTAAACCTCATCCTCGCTGGCAAGCTCTACCCAGGCATCCGCATTTTTTACTCCTCACGTGAGCATGTCATTCGAAATTTTGAAGGAGAGGCTCGTCCCGAGAGAGTCATCGCATTGGCAGGGTTCTCTAAAAAAGACGTCATAAAACTTGTCAAAGCTTTCAGTGCAGACAAGAGTGCCTATGTCATGAATCGTCTGCAGAATGAAGCTAAGGCTATCTTCTCTCTATGCACCATACCAATGTTTCTCATTTTCACGGTATCCGTCTTGATAATCTATGAACAATATAGTCCCGACACAATGACAGAAATTTTGTTGTTTGTCCTGCTCGACACCTTAAGATCCGAACATATCACCATGAACCAAATAAAAACTGGAATGTCTATCTATGACGTCGTTCACAGCTTGAAGAAAATGTCATTCAAGGGCACAAAAAACAAGAAAGTTACTTTCACCAAATCAGATTTACCCCCAGGAATTACTGTGGATCATTTCAAAGATATCATGATACCATTTCCTGGATCAATCGGGCTCAATCAAAGGCTTCTGGAAGGACATCTTGTTTATTTATTTACGCATCAGACAATCCAAGTAGGTGAATTAGATCCACTAGGTGGAGTGTTGGGTACAATATTATATATATCCAACTTAGTTTCGAATCTAAAAAAAAAATTTAAGCTGACCCCGTGGGTTCATTCACGTAAAGCATTTGTTTAAAAATTATATTTAATCAAATAAAGCCGTTCCATTTCACAATATTCAAATTTAGACTTACGTTTGCTTGTAGATGGAACTTGTTTCTTAGTTTCGAATATTTCTTTGCTCAAATTGTTTTTTGCTCTAACAGGAGGCCCTCACTGCCCTCTACATTGCTGAAATGTCAATATGGAAATTCAGAAAGTTTGTTTCAACCAAAATCCATGAAAAGCATTGGGTCGTAGTTCGTAAAATCCTATGCGGCATTATACTCAACCCTAAAACATCAAACATTGCAATGGAAAAAGAAGCTGATGTCGGCATTTTGAAATCTGGTGAGCTCTCTAGCATATTCTAGTGTTTCTAAACTACTCATACTGGAGGTTTCCTTACTAGGGTTTCCTGATTAGACCACGGTTCTCATACTAAGTATGGTATATTGTAAAGTGGTATCGATATATCTTATAGTCTAAATACTTCGAAACAATTTTAGTTTATTTACACATAATTTTAATGTCATGTTCAAAGCAATACAGACTTGGGATTATATTTATGAAACGCTCGATAGAATATTGGCTGGTATTGAATACAATATCAATAAAATATTATTATGCAATTGATAAAAAATTATTATGCAATTTTTTGATTCTCCGTGGTTAAAATATTGAGAATTTAGAATTAAAACTATTCCGGTAACTTAATTCCACAGAGGCTACTATATTTTGAGGGATGGAACTTTTTCCGTGTTGGCATTGCTTTCAAAATTTCTTATATCGTAGGTGAGGTGGTGGGCATGATGTTCACTCCGCGATATTTATCTAGCGACGATTACATTGTTTAGTATTTTGAAATTGGAGTTCTATAGAATGGGGAGAAGCAGTATTTTGATAATTTGTATCAGAGTATGTTACGGTTTGCATACAAATTGTTCCTGTCTATTTTCGCAAATTTAGGTTTGTCAGAAATCTGAAATATTAGGATAGGATTCACAATTTTAATCCTTGACGAGAATAAAGCCGATGAGACACTACTCATATGACAAACCACGGCCTCTCATCCCGATACTGGTCCATGTATCCGGGTATGGGTTTAGTTAGCCAGTTATTTTGATAGTGGAGGAAATGATAACCGACCAGCTGTTTCGTAAACTATCTAACGGTAGTGAGGAGTCCAGCAATTCAAAAAAATCTCAATCTCAAATTAAAATTTATTTTGGGATATTTTAGACTTAACCTGTCCAGGGCTACAGATCTGAAATTACGATTGACACCCTGCTGATTTTTTTTTGTTGAGTTGAAATATTGGAAATTTGATAAAATCTGCTCTCTTTGTTTAGGTAATAATTATTTAAATTTTTTTTTAGTCTCGGCTGGCCTACCTTTCACTAGCATATGATAAAATTCTATCCTCTACAGACCTGAGCTTCTTTTTCAGTTCTCTTAAACGAATTTTAATTCACAACATTTTTTTTTCTAAGATATTAATCTGGAGAAAAAACGATCAATCTTGTTAGCAAGCATGAAGATACAATTTAGGCCGGGCTGGTTCCAACGTAAGATCAAAGAAAGAGAGGCAGTGAGGAAGGAAGATCTTCTCGAGCTGATGCAGGCTTTAAATGAGTCTGGAGATGGCATCGATGGTATAATCAAATCATCCATGCGTGTGATTGATTTCGGCTTCATGTCTCTCACTCCAAGTGATAAATACACTCTGGCATCTATTCTTGCTCGTTGTTCACGTCTCGATTTACTCTATCTGCCTTATGTTTTTCTCACATCATCTGATCCCGCACTCCTTGCTTCATCAATGCAAAGATCAAAACTCAAGGTCAGTACTTAGTCAGTGGTTGCCCTCCAGAAGTATGTGTACCAATATGCAGGCAACTAATTTTGTTCGTCTATTTCACATCAAGTTGTGTGAATGGACGGAAGCCTATGGGCAAGGGTATATTTACCTTGCTAACATAGACAGTCCCCGGACTTGTAATGAAACTAAAATAAGGTAAATCAGAATAAAATCATGGCCTCCCTCAACTCGGTGCCGGGGGCACAGCCAGCGGAGGGTTATTGGGGTCCCAACCCCCTTGTTTGAAAATGAGAGTACTTCATGAGAGTGTTCTACCATTGACTTAAAACAAAATACAATGTCGTTTTTCGGTAAGCATATTACGGTTTCCCGTCAAAACTATATTAATTTGCTCGTTTCACCTTTACGCAACACCGCAAGAATTTCAATCATGTTCAGGGTAGGTTATCTCCGCACCTTACGCATCGCGATTGCTAAAACAGTCGCTTGAATTTAGTATAAATTTGCTTACAGCTCTCGCTATCAGATAAACGACAAAAGTGAAGAATCTTTGCATCTTGGGGACTTTTGTTTTATTTCTGCGATCATTCCTTTTTTTTAATCCCTGAGTTTTCACAATTTGCGTCAACACCATTTTGTAAATTTTGACGCAATGGCTTATTTACGGCGTTTTCATTCATTATTTAATACAAAAATAACTTAGTCTCTATATTAAAGTGGAAAAAGTTAACTGCTAGCTTCATAAATAACATTCCGAGGTCATTCATGATGATATAGTTCGCTTAGAATTGGGTTTGCAGTTTACAAATCGTTATAAAGAAATCAAACCCGACGCAAAAGATAAAATACACAATAAGATTAAAATGTGTTGTGAATTCCTCGATAGCTGTCTTCAACATTTACACACATGTGAACTCACAGTTGTGCCTCAAATATGAAAACCAAACTTCGGTGTTTGCCATTGCGTGAAAATTAATACTTAATAAATAAATAAATTAAATAAAATGGAGCGAGCTTTAATACAGATTACACGTTGGCCTAAACGCAGCATTGTTTTTAAGTTTTCAGTCCAATATACGTTGTGCCACTATTCGGCGTTCATTAAAAATATTCAAATTATATTGTTTATATTTTGCCCACCATTAATCCCGGCGTATTTAAATATGTTATTGACTGGTTATAAATAAATTGACTCATTAACATTAAATGACGGCAGATAATAATTTTTTTTTCATGCCCATTTAATCGGTGATTTACGTGAGCTTGTTTTTGTGCTCATTATAACGTCACTGACGTCCACGAGTTGTACTTCTCTTCAAAATTAATTATTACAAATTTTATCATTTTTTTATTACTAAATACGGCCACTCGAAAAATATTTTTTTTAGTTTATTGATTGTTATTTCGCGACAAACTTGAAATCGACTTGAGAACCACTGGCATATATCATTCGTTTATTCCCTATATTCATTTTGTTGAGACGTCAAAATCCCATTTTGTTCTGGTTGTATTTCATGTACATACAACTCGTTTGTGCGAGACATCGGAATGAAAATTTGTAGGCTTGTAACATTCGTAAGAGTGCGGTTACATTTTTCTTATCTTCGTCAAATAGCAAGCTCATTTGTGAAACAATGAAGAGCGAACAAGGCGACATAGTTATGACCACCTAGGGTTTAATAAGCGACGATTACTAGATGTTTGAAATAGGATGTACGAAATAATCAAGAAATGGCGTCAGGCTAAGGGAGGCGAACTGCACCCAAGTCTGTAATATATTCAACAGCGTTCGCTATGAACAACACACACTTTTTAGTACTTTAGACCAGTGTTTTCCAACCGGGTATACGGTAAGTGTATACCGGACCATAAGAAGAATATACAGCTGATAAACGGTATACGAAGGGTGTACAGCTTAAGTCATGAATTCTAAACTCCAATATAATAAATTATAAAATAATCAATTAGAGACAACAATGCAAAGGTGGCGCACATGAAAAATAAAATGTCATTTACTTAAAAAACCGACGTAAAGACATTGTCACATCACAATTTATCTAGATAATGCAGGCACGTGTGTGGAATTATTTATTTCAGTCGACGATTTTCATTAAAATTTTTATATAAAATTTATATTCATAAAAACTAAGTCGTAATTTCAGCAGATAAAAGTGGGCCGGATCCAACTGCGGGCCACAATTTGCCCAACCCTGGTTTACAACTTGCAAACAGTAGCCCATTAGATTGCATGATTATATTGCAGTATCGTCATATTTAGTTTTTTATAATCTTTGCTTAAAATTGAATGTATATTTAAGCTTCAAATAAAGATTGGTATTTGTAAAGTATACAATTCTTAAAAAATTGTAAAAGATATACCACGGTAAAAAAGGTTGAAGAACACTACTTTGATGCCTTACAGCGTGAATTGCATTTCGTGCACACTTAATTTCACTGTAAGCCCCCCTCTCATTTAAAAAATCCTGGCTGCACTCATGTCTGGTACACATACTATGGGAGTTCAGGGAGGATTTACATATTTATCATAGGAGTTCAGCAAGTCAATAACCATATGACTAATCATAGCCTCTCGTCCGGTTACCAGTCCATGTTGGGTATAGGATTAGTTGGCCAGTTATTTGTTACACATCATGGAATTGATGATGAATGAAGCCGTAACCAATAAGCGGTTGAGTGAACCATCCTGCGACAGTGAGAAGCTCAACAATTTTCTCGCACATATTCAAGATTCGAACCTGCAAACCCACACAGGGTAATCAGAGGTGCGGTAGCAACCGCCTAGCCAGCATGTACATTTAAATATAGCGCTTCATAGAATTTGCGCTTGAATAGCTATGTCATGGCATTCGGCCAGCTTGGCAAATAGAAATGTCAGAACCTCCTCTTTGAAAATTTCTCGCTACGCCTCTGCGCAATATCTTCAGACCAAGGTAAGAGAAACCTGGTCATTGTTATCAGTGTTCACTATTAGCGCACTTTTTTGCAAATATTGTGGCAAAAAAGTTAAAATCAAATCAAATCAAAAGTGGCAAATATTTTCCTGCGACAAATAAGATGCGTACTAGTACTGTTGTAACCTAATTTTGCATTCCATAACGATATTTGCTAGAATTTTAATCTGTGTGGTGCAGACATGGAAGATGAAGCTTTTGAAATAATGGCGAAATTCTTGTTTTTCAATATGACTATTATACAAGCACGCCGATTCCCTTCTTCCCGCAATAAAGCTCGGCGGCGTCGATTAGATGTTGGAATACAACGTACTGCGTTTTTTTGAACCAGAGTGGTCAAGTGACTATCAATGACATCGATGAATTGTGACCAAAGTGCACGATTTTCTAGTGCAAGTATGCCGGGTCTTTGTTTTCTTCCTAGTGATTTTATTGGAGCCATTCAAAATGTCATGATACTCGTAGAGGTGGGCAATATAGAATACCAAATCCGGAGGATTCAAATCCCTGCGACCTACTGACGATATTCTGATTGCTCCATTGCAACAATCATAAATTTTTGGAATACCTGAAACATTCTATATTTTAACTTAAATGACTTTTCGCCGCCTCAGAGTTCTCCCGAAAAATGATGTGTACCAGACGTTAGATGGTAGATAAAACATTATTTGCGATTATTACTTTCCAAGACGCCCCGTTCCCGAAAATACAAAGTTATATCGCAAAAAGTGTGTTTTGTTACATTTAAAATAAAACATTATTTGCAATTAATTTAGATCAAATTTTACTTTTTACGACACCCGTTTCCGAAAAAATGCGTTTTGTTTCATTTATTTTGCACGTTCGTTCAAGCTTAACACAGGTTTGGTCGAGTGTCGCGCGGTATTTCAGTCAACGATAAATTCGAAATTGAAAATAAAAGTTGTCTCACATGGTTTGTATAACGATAATAACTGAAAATTAAGATTTTGCAATAAAAATTTGTTTCAAGATGTTATTTTACGAGTCTTGCCCGCAGAAAAGGCGTAATTACTATTAAAAATAAGAGTAATGGAGTAAAGATGCACAGAAAAACGAATTTGATTTTATTGAATTGAAAAACACAAACGAGCGTTTTACATTTCATGCACAACTAACCAATGCTACACGTGAGATTTGTGCACATGAACGATTATATATCGCGACTATATGTCTGATATCTGAGAATGCGAATCGTACTTCTCTTCCAACATTAATTTTCAGGATTTCAGCGATCATAATGTCGAATAAATATTATTTATGAAGTGGATTGATATTTCGCGACCCACTTCAAATTATTTGGAAACCACTGTCATGTCATTTGTTTATTTTTTATATTCATTTTTTTATCGAGAATCATCCTCGTTGTATTTCGTGTACCTTCGCAAAAGAAAACTTTTTGGTGTCATCGTTCCTATTAGTGTAATTGTAATATATGGAAACGTTGCAAGTGAGATTGCAATGCGAATATTTCATACTAGGTCTGCAGCATCACTGAGACATGTACCGGCGACATGTATCGCACCTGCGAAACATTAATGTATTCCTAAGGCGAAGTTTGGCATTTGGCACCGAGCTATGGCGGGTAGTTACTAATAGCGATTACAGCCTGCATGTGCCAATCGTTGTCTGTTAGATAGAAAAACTAACACAAATGTGAAAGCCTTTGCTGTTCACGCGAGTTAGCAATCGACACGAGTGGTTGATTGCACAAAAGTTTCGTTCGCGACATGTGTGCTTTCGTAACCAATGAATTAGCTCGTTTTAAACAAGGATTTAAAGGAATTTTGTTAACGGAAAGGCTCCTCTTCAATTTGCAATATTAACGGAAGGAGGGCTTTTTCGGTATCTATGCTGTGTTAAATGAGTTACACCTAACTGGTTAAAATCGGCCAAAGCACTTCCGCACTTTTTTTATCACTGCAAAGCACTTTCGCACTCATAATTCGCTTAGAGTTAACACTGATTGTTATGAAATGTCTTAGTTGTAGCTATAGCAACGAGACGTTTTATCTCATAAGTGATCGGTTGCAATATTATTGC